CATCTTCAACTAGATCAGGTTGCTCAGAGCCCTGTCCAACCTGACCTGGAATGTTTCCAGGGATGGGGCATCCACCACCTCTCTGGGCAACCTGGGCCAGTGTTTTACCACCCTCAGCGTAAAACATTTCTTCCTTATCTCTAGTCTAAATCTACCCCCCTTTAGTTTAAAGCCGTTCCCCCTTGTCCTGTTGCAACAGGCCCTGCTAAAAAGTTTGCCACCATCTTTTTTATAAGCCCCCTTTAAGTACTGACAGGCTGCAATAAGGTCTCCCCGAAGCCTTCTCTTCTCCAGGCTGAACAACCCCAACTCTCTCAGCCTTTCCTCATAGCAGAGGTGTTCCAGCCCCCTGATCATTTTCATGGCCCTCTTCTGGACCCGCTCCAACAGGTCTGTGTCTTTCTCATGCTGAGGGCTCCAGAGCTGGAGTCAGTGCTCTGGGGGGGGTCTCCCCAGAGCAGAGTAGAGGGGCAGAATCCCCTCCCTCGCCCTGCTGGCCACGCTGCTTTGGATGCAGCCCAGGATACGATTGGCCTTCTGGGCTGCGAGCGCACATTGCCGGGTCATGTCCAGCTTTTCATCCACCAGTACCCCCAAGTCTTACTTCTGCCCATGTCGGCAGGGAAAGGACCCTTGAGACAGGTCTTATAGCTGTCTGTAGCCACCATGTCAACACGTGACAGAGCCCAGTCTCATCATCCAATGCTCCTTTGACAGCCATTGAACTGCTGCTGTAAGGATGGTTCTACAGCAATGAGACTACAACAGTAATGAAACTAGGTGAAAATAAAAAGTATTCAGCAGATGCTAATACTGCATCTAGCACTATACAAAGAACAAGAAATGAGACCTCAGATCCTGGTGTAATGAAGGATCTGGTTGCAGTCGGCATGCTGTTCAAGAACCTATGGAGAAATCCTACTGTTTAAAGATTTTAAGCCTACCTGTGGTGTCTTGACAGAGGAAGTTTAAGATGTGACAGCACATGGAGTTGTACTGGCAGGTTGCAGGTAGCAGTAACCTCTTCATCCCCGAGAAACATCCAGAGCAGCACTTCTGACCAAAGCCACAGGGACTCATTATTGTTCTCATCACTCGAAAAGCCTAAAGAAAAAGGATGGTCCATGGTTAGGAAGTCGAGGACAGACATTCTGGGTTTTGGTTTCCTTTCTTTGTCATATGTTTGCTAGGAAATTTTGAGCAAGGCACCTGCATGCCAGATGCTAGGAGAAGAACAGGAATTTCATTCTACGTGAAATTCCCATGAAATTAGGGATATTCACACAGATATGGGGAATCTTGGCCTCCACTCTTCCTGAAATAGAACAAAGGGCATTTATTAATTGCCCTGGTTGTTGAGAGGCTAAGAGCATTTAAAAACAGTGAGACATTCAGATAGTACAATAATGGGGAATGTAGACGATGAACGGCATGATAGATGTCACAGAGAACTTTCTTCCTCCTGTTTGCCAGTTTTATTTGTTTCGAAGGAGAAGAAACCAAAACCTACTCAAGACAATTATGAAGGTTCATTGAGTTTGTCTGTCAGCACAGAATCTTACGAACTTCTAATTGGAAAAAGAACACTTACTCACAGGAAGAATGAGTTTGCCAAGAAAAATGTGTGTAACTTAGGTGCCCTCTGTTGGCATCTGCAAAGCGGGTTTTTTTGAGCAGCTGTTCCAGTTCTCCTCTGGAAGAAAACAAAAAGACATTTCACTGCCCTCACTTACCAGTCTTTTCATTTGTTTAATGAAGTATTTCAAAGAAGCGAAAATTATTGTTGCATTTTATTCTCAGCAAAATAAAGTGCCAAAGTGAAGGCTATCATGTCACCAAAATCTACCAAACACTTAGGCTTCATTTTTCACACGTACTGCTTCAGAAAAAAAAAAAGATTTTTTGAATTATTTTTTAAAATCAATTAAAAGGGAGTAAAATACTCCTGGGGCTGTTACATGATTAAATATCCTTCCTTACAAAACGCTGAATAGTTCCTACATGTGTTATATACAAGATGCAGCACCATATGGTGGAGGCAGGGAGGGAAC